TTTCCCATTATAAGAAATTGTCCAGGCTTGTCCTTTGCTACAAAAAGGATTGTGCCACCTTGTTGCACCTTATTTACTATCATTGCTTTTTACCCGTTACGAATTATCTTATCACAAAACTATCTGTTGCCTACAATTTCAGTGCTTGCAGAGAATACCTTATTGAAAACCGCTTGTCATTTCCTTCTGCTCCTTGTTAGGTTCGACACTCTTACTTATCAAAAGTACTACGATAGATCCCCTATACTTGTGGGTCATCAATGATTCCTATAGTGATACATAGCATGCAAGTACAACAATGTCTCAAATTCGATGTCCAACAAGTTTTCAACGGATAATGTCATCCATCACATACTGCCCCTCAGCTTCATCGAACAGTGTGTGTACGTAAATGGCTGATCCTGTGTCCTGTGGTACATCACGCCAGCGTGTAGGGGCTATAGAATGTGTAGAGCAACATTGAGTGAATGAATGATTCAGTCAACAAGCTGAGGAAGAAGAAACAAAACTTACGATTGCCTCCTTTGTTGCATGTAGTAGCCACCTTGCCTCCAGCTGAGCAACTATGTGACAGAACTTGGAGATGATGGTTTGGATGGCGTACCATTGATACGATAACGACGTCACATTGCGATCATGCATGATGTGCATGTCATAAGGCACAATGTGCTTTCGTTCGTGAAACGATTCATGCACCTACTGCCAGAAGGTCTGCCCTCAGCTCCTATCTATGAAATCCGTGGATACGACCAACCACGCACCGCACAATAACTCAATGTCATCGACAGGGTGACAGAGTGTATTTGGGTACAAACGGCTCCAGGGTGGACAATGCCATTGTAAAAGGCGAGCGGGCGTGTAAGTGCTGGTTGCGAATGTCCGGCAATGCCTGTGTGGTGGTCGGAGAGGTACAACGGCAGCGGCGGAGGCTGAGGATGCGGATGCAAAGCAAGAGAGAGAAGTGACGGGGTGGAAGAAAATGGGGTTGGGAGGGCGGATTTAGTGGGCCTGGGGTGTCGGGGTCCAATGTGGCTGCTGTTCGGACTCTCGCACACCCCACTTTATCTCCACTTTGTGGGAGAAAGTGCCTCCAAACCGCCGAGGGGACCGATACAGACCCCGTTGGATGGTTTCCACGTCCGAACTGCGCGGTCCTGACGTATGTGGGCGGTTTGAGGGTCGGTGTTGGAGATGTCCTTGGTAGTACAAAATGCTTTTAAAAATAGTCTTTTTAAACATCTATTTTGTCTTTTTAGCCTAGAGCATTAGGAATGTTTTTTTTCTTTAAGAGGATTTGCACAAGTAGTAGAACATTAAAGAATGTTGCTTGCAATAATAATAATTATTATGATTATTTGCGAAAAAGGAATTTTTCTATTCATGTAGGTGCTTTTGAGCTTAGAAGCAAAAACTCCATGCTCTGCAAAATAATAACTTCCCTCGAATAATAGTGCTATGTTTTCTTTTTTGTGGGTGAATAGTGCTATGTTATAAAAGTTTGCATTTGTTCCATATGGTATATGAAAAGAAGTCCATTCTCTCTGCGTTCATGAATAAGTATAATTCTAGCTTTTGTTCTAAGTTAATGTTTTAAAACTTTGAACAACTTTATAGGTAAAAGTAGCAGCATTCATGACACTAAATTAGTTCACTAGATTCATTTTGAAATGCAGTGTCATAATATACTAATTTGATGTCATATATGCTACTATTTTTTTATTATGTTGATCAAAATTTAAACTTTTTGACTTAGCACAAAAACTAGATGTACACTTCTTCACCTGACGGAGGGAGTAGGTGTGTGTTTTTGTGAGTGTGAGACTGCAGTCTGCAGAGGATACTAGGGCGTGTTTGGTTCAAGTTGTGAATAGTTCCTGCACTTCTCAACCCAGCCTGGTTGAGCAAAAACATGCCCTAATGCGCCATCTGCAAGTTGTTTGGTTGCCTGCATCTAGTGTCCCTGCATTGGGTAATACGTAAGTGCACTTTGTTTGGTTGCCTGCATTGGCCCAAGCGGCACATGAACACGGCGTTTGGTTGCATACGGCGTACATGGTGTGCTTACCTTGTACCCTAGTTGGTGAGCTTACCCACAGTGATCACACCTATCACACCAACGCCACAACACAGCAATGGCGATGAACTGGGCGAAGATGATGAAGTTCTTCAGCTTCAGCCCAAACTGACGATCCACCTTAGCGCCTTCCACTTTGACACCTCCAACCTTGCCAATGTCAATATTGCTGCCTCCATGCTTTCGCACCCAGTCAGAGTAAGCTTGTTCTGTTGCCTGCCTAGCCTTGAACCCTCTATGGCTGCTGTTGCTATACGATGCCACTTGTGCACTGGCTTCTTTCCATGAACTATAAACCCCTAGAGCCTTACCGATGAACATGGCATACCACTTGCCCTAGCAATGCACAAGAGCAAGAGTTGAAGCAGCAAATCAATGGAGCACACAAGTAGCAAGCAAAGCGGCACACAAACAACAATGGAGCAGAAGAGAAGAAGTAAAGCATACATGATCATACGGCATAACAAGTTCTACCTAGCACTACCTTGGTATTAACCTACCACCACATCCAAAAGAGGGTGCCTCCTACCACCGCAAGTTCACCATCAGCGTGAAGGGTTAGTATATACCACCTCACCAAAATATACAGACCATCAAATAGTTTTTCAGTCCTAGCTACACAAAATGTACGTCGTCATCGTCGCCACCGCCATCGCCGTCGGGGATCATGCACGCTCACAGGCAGCACTACTCTAGTAGTAGTGCTTGCCCAGCCAGCTCCCGAGCCACAACACCCTATGAGCGTCTGCCATGGCAACGAACCCAACACCCTGGGTCTTGTTGTCAAGCAGGTGGCTAAGAGCTGCCATGAGAGCCTCGTCGCTGAAGCCACCTGGGTCATGACAACGCCATACAGGTCAGGGTGGATGTCGAGGGGCTTGCACTCCCTGATGGCTATTGCCACCTCCTTCACCGCCTCAGTCATGCTGCAAAACACATTGATCTCCGCCTCCATCAGGCATCCTCTCTTCCTCTTCCTATCATGGACGGGGTTAAATGACTTGTCGAAGGACTTCACGAAGGGCTTGTCAGGGCCATCAAGGACCTCGACGTCCGAGGTCCCAGGGAAGTCTGGCATGGGAGAACCAAGAGGCTCCCACAAACTCATGGCATGCTTCCCAGTTGCCAGCCTGAAGGAGAAGATGTGTTGCATCTGGCTGTAGTTCTGTATGGGTGTGTTGAGGAACTCAGCGTCCCTTGGGTGGTCCTAAGAATGAAACACAAGTGTTGTTAGTTGTGATTAGGAGTAGGCAATGGTGGACAGTATGAAAAGGAAGAGGGTTGTAGCTAACAGTGACATGGCCGGCGTAGTGCTCTGCCTTCAGAACTATGGAGCAAGTGTTCTCATCCCATGAGGCGCCGCTAAGGTCTCTCAGCTTGGACACTTGGATCCATCGACCTCTCCACTTCCTCAGGTGGTTCTACACCTGGGTGGCAGACACCTCCTGCCCACAGAACTCGAACTCGTGCTTCGCAACGGTGTCCAAGTGCACCTCCTTGAAGCCCTTGACAGTTCTAACTCCACTAGAGATGAGCTCACACATCTTTGTTCAGCACGAACGTGGACATGAATGGTTGCCACTTCATGTTGTTCGACCTACCATCCTTCTCTGCCTTTGTTGTTGCTATCTTGAGTGTTGCGGCAGCAGCAGCAGGAGTTGGCTCAACAAGCACTACTGGCACATAGAGGGAATCAGACGCGAATACCTCTGAATCAGGTGCCATCTCGGACATAGGTTGCGAGTCCTCAACAAACGATGAAGCAAACTGGCTGTCGGACAGGACAAGGGCCTGACTAAGATCTTGCGTCTGCGTGGTCATGTCCTACAATCGTAGCACGCATTGAAAGTAAGCATAGCACACAACATACCGGACAATCCATGAAAGCGGGAGCATACATGTACATGGTTCATCACTATCATAGCAAGGACATGCTTCATCACTATCATACTAAGCATATCGGACAATCTATGAGCACGAACATACATCTACAACAACAACATGCTACAAATGGACCACCAATAGCTACAAATCACAGACCTAAGCATGAATCAACACAAGCACAAGGTTCAACTTCAAACTCTACTACTAATCTAGCCTACCACATGCTTGAACATCTAGCCCTACCACAAATTGCAACCGCAGCATAGCAATCAACCATATGAGCTCACAGATCAGACCACTAATCAACCATGCATCTAGATCATACCCTAGCTGCAGCTCAAATCTAGCTAGAAGGAACAGAGAGAAAGAGGATTGAACTCACAGAGGCCATGGCTGCAGCTCGAGGACGAGGGGCAGTCGTAGAAGATCACCGCCGGCCAGTGAAGGAGCACCGACGCCGTGGACCGCCAGCCGATGAAGATGCGCTGCTTACCTGCTCGTCGGTGCTGATGCGCGTCGGCGGGAAAGCTCGAAGGGAGGAAGAATGGTGGCGGGAGTGGGGGCAGTGAGGGAGGGGCTAAATAGGGGTGGACTCGGCGGGAAGTGAGCCAAAATCCTCCCGCCGATTTTTCACCGATGCGGACGAGCTCGCACAATCTCCCTGGTCGCACGAGGAGAGAAGCGCGTCGCCCTCCCCTGCCTCGCCCGAGCCAGGCTCGCGAGCTACTGCCGATTCGGGTGTTTCCTTGGGCCTGACCTGTGTATGCTTTAAGTTTCGTGCCATGCGGATCGCACGGTAAACGCGGGCAACCAAACAGACCAAATTCTTTCCGCGCGGGCCAGGCTGTGCCATATGGACGCAACCAAGCACGCCCTGGCCTTCTCCCCTCCGAGCACTCATTTAAAACCAAACTACCACGGCCGGCAGCCAGATATAACCGGAGCACCGGTTTTGAAAACACCATACACACCAAGACCTTCCTTCATCCTCGCCGGTCGTCACTTCTCCTTCGGGTCAGCTCCACTCCTCAGAGGCACAGCAATGGTCATCGGGAAGCTGGGCTTGAGCTCCCTCTTCCACACGAAGGCCAAGGAGGAGGCCTCGCCGTCACCTCCTCGAGGCGACCCGGCCGCGGCGCCGGCGTGGGCATGGCCGTCCTGCAAGCACCCAAGAACGCGGTCCTTCCACGACGCGCCGCCACCGCCCGGCGCAAGAACGCTCGCCTCGATCTTCCTCGACTCCGCCGAGAGCTCCTTCACCAACTCCTCCGCGCGGCGCGACTGCTCCGACAGCCCCTCCACGGCGTCCGAGGTGTCGGCGGAGGGCGGGGGCGACGCCGTCACGGCCGAGGACGCCGTCGTCGTGGGGCCCCTCCGCTCCTCCGACCGGCTCCTGTTCGACCCGGGGGCGTCGGGGGCCACCAGCTCCATACTGGAGGAGAAGGTGCCCGCGGCCGCCGGCGAGGCGTTCGTCGGTGGCCTGGCCGTGGCGTTCGAGTCGGCGGACCCGTACGGGGACTTCCGGGCGTCGATGCAGGAGATGGTGGCCGCGCACGGGGCCGGCGGCTGGGGCTGGGGCTGGCTGGAGGAGATGCTGGGGTGGTACCTGCGCGCCAACGGCAAGGACACGCACGGCGCCATCGTGGCCGCCTTCGTCGACGTCATCGTCTCCGTCGCCGACCCCGGCCGCGGCTCCTGTTCGTCCCGGAGCTCCTTCTGCGCGTCCGTGGACGGAGATCAGTGAACTAATTTTACTTCCGTGGCATGGTTAATGTGGTGAGAGTGAGCTTTGTCGAGCTAGCTAATGATGGCGGAGTGTGGTAGATGAGTGAGTAGATCACGTCGGTACGTGCCGAACACTTGTTTGTATGAGCTCGACCGAGAACGTGCATGAGCATGAAAGTTACGTACTTAATTTTAACTAGCTTCTTTTGTGGTAGCTGAAATCTCGTGCCAACATGTGATGGATATATGTTTGCACGTATGGTAATGGGTTCAGGACGTCGTTCGACAGTAAAAGATTTGTAGTTCTGCAAGTTCAGGACCACCTGAGTGTACCGCTAGCTAGGAGTTAACCTGCAGTGATTACTACTGATGTTCAAAAAAATAAATAACCTGCAGTGATTACGATGGAAGCAAAATAGTACTACTACCGTACAGTACGATGGCAGTTGGGGAGTACTGTACCAAATTTGTATACTAGCGTATACGGTGAGTTTGTGATGTCAAAACTCAAACGCCCAACGCGGGAATGAGCACAGAATGCTTCAAGAGATAAATACACACATTGCAAAGAAGAAAATAGAACTCAAATACTCAATAACAAATCAGCAGTCATGGACAGAAACGCAACCATTGGCAATAACATACAGTGTATAGGCAATGCTAGACTCTTCGGAGCGGAGATGTGCACCGAGCAGTATGGCGACTTGGGCGGCGACTCTGACCTCCGTCGCTTTCCGGCGCGGAGGCGGCCTGGGTCCTGGTCCGACGGGGCCCCTGCGGCGCCCTGGCGCCCGCCGCCCCGGCGTGCCCTCCTGGGGAAGGACGGGCGAGCTGCGGTGGCCGTTTCTGG